GACAAAGTGTATATGTCGGCAAAAGAATTTTTCGACAAAGTGACTGTCGGCAAAGTGTATATGTCGGCAAAACAATTTTTCGGCAAAGTGGTGTCGGCAAAGTAATACGTCGGCAAAGTAACTGTCGGCAAAGTGATACGGACCCAAAGTAACACCCCTATATCAAACAATCTTACGTGGTATTGGTTTACCAACAAAAATAATGTTATTTTGTTTTAAATTATATGGTTCACATTATTTATATAATTTATTTGCACCAATTTTATCTAAAATGTATATTGCGAATTTAGGTTCATATGAAGTTGATCCATCACGTATTGAACAACATGAACAATTAGATGAATAATAGAAAAAATTTATGTTTATTAACACAGGACGTTTTTCAACCTATTATTGATTCATCATTACAATTTCCTTTACAATTAAGAATATTATGTTCATGTTTATATCAAGTTGTACAACAACGTTTTCTTGAATATCCTTTACAAGTATTTTTCTTTTCTTTTTTTTTAAATAAAAATATTTTCTAAATTAGCCTGTATCAACTGTTATATTTCGTTTTTTAAATCCTGCACTTGTACTTCCACATGAATATGGTATTGTTGATGCTCAACCATTACCACGTATAAAACGTGGTTTAACACTTGTATCAAAAATTCTACAAAGTATTGCAAATAATTTAATATTTACAACAGAATTTCATATGCGTTGTTTTAATGATTATCTTCGTTCCACATTTGATTCAGTAACAAATTTTATTTTATCAATAAGTGAACCAATTAATATAAATACAATAATATCATCAGATGAACAACAACAATTAATTGAAAATAATAATAATAATAATAATAATAACAATAATAATAATAATAATAATAATAACAATAATAATAATAATAACAATAATAATGATTCAACAATTGTTTCACCAACATATCCAATGTCATATATAAGTGATGCAAATGTTTTAGCATTACATCGACTTTTATGGTTGAATCAAGAAAAAATTGGATATTATTTATCAAGTGGAAGAGATCATAAAGCTATCAGACGAAGATCATTTGATAAAATGGCAACATTATTAGCTTATTTAGGTCCACCTGGTCATAGACCATTAGATTCACAATGGATTTCATATAACATGACAGCAACAAAATTTGAAAACTTATGGCGAAAACACAACTGCATGAAAGAGAAGAATTTAAATCATTAAAAGCTCTTAATATTTTCTATCAAGTTAGTTTAACTAATATTTATGTCAAATGAATATTTAGTTTTAATCGAATAGAGGAAAACAAAGGACTTTAAGGGATCTTCTTGTTGAGGTTTCTCGAGAATGGCTCGATGGAATTTACTGAAACATTCAGGATAGATAGACCTCGATGAGTATAGCAAAATTCGTCATAAAGTCGGAATCCGCAAATACTTAATTCCCAAAGATATTTAGGGCCCAAGAGCGAAAAATGACCGCCGGGCCCGCCCGCCCGCCCACGCACGCCCACCGAGAGCCCCCCCTCACCTACGGGTATGAATCAGCAGCG